TCCCTAAAGGCGCGTTGCCGAGTCTCCTCCACAGGACTCGGGATGACAGTCGATCGGGCGGCCCCTCCTTCCCTTCCCTTCTTCCCTTCCGTCATCGTTGGTCTAGCGAGAAGCTCCCTATTAACTTCTCCGGCGTTGCAGCCCCAGGAATCGCCCGGGTGGAGTGCCAACTACATTTCCCAGGGGCCTTCGCAGGCAGGAAGAGCGGCCGCAGTCTTGTGGGCGGGTGTGTCTCCATAAGCAGGCTCTTGCTGAGCTGGGGGCGGGGCTTATTCTCCGTTATGGCTGATGGGGGCGAAGCCTTGTCGGGTGTAGAGGGAGTGCTGTTAGATATTAGCGGGGTGCTTTACGATAGTGGAGGCGACGGAGGCGGAGTCCCCATTCCTGGATCTATAGAAGCTGTAAAAAAGTAAGTGGGAGGCCTGCAGCAACTGGCTGCGAGGCTTTTTGTCCTCCTTCCCGCCACCGACGGGGCAGGTCCTGCTGGTGGTGCTCGTTTTAAGTCCCACCGGTTTGGGTGGACTTGCTGGGAGAAGCCCTTCCTACGCTCCGGGCTTCAAGAAAGGGCGTGTGCGTATTTCTGTGGCTTGTGCAACCAGTTGCAGATGTCAATCTAACTATAGTTAAATAAACCAAGGTTTATCCTGGGGTGCGAGCTCAGCCACTAGCTGCTATTAGTCCAGGGCTAGATTCACATACGGCGCCAAGCTGCAAACCGCGGACTCCAAACCACTTACACGGATGATTTACACAGCACTTTAAACCCAAACTTAATCATAGCATAATGTGTGAATAGTCCATTTTTTTCTCCCCTGCAGTTAAGCCTTCATTATGGTGTTAGTTGATACCCCGACTTGGCGGAATGACATTTACAGTACTATGATTTTATGGAGTGCTTTTATTTTATTAATCAAATTTATATCCTGCTGTAATCAAAGCAGACTCTTGGTGGCTCACCGTAACAAATAAAACCTAGTAATACACCCCCACAACAAATTATAATTCCATTTTTTAAAAATTAGTGTGGAATCCTGCATATGCTTACCTGGGAATACCCCTTGTTCTCTTCACTGGAATTTACTTTGCTCTTAAATAAATACCCAAATAATAAGTACAGTACATGCTTTTGTGCTATGTGCCAAAAAGATAATGCAAAGATATTTAGCATTTAGATAATAACTCTAGCTAAAGGCAGGTTCTGTATGTGTGCATCTCTCCCTGATTTTTTTAGATAAATTATGTATTTTCTGCTGCATACCAAAGCATATACCACAGAGACTGCAACACCTACAAGATTAACCGCTTTAATATGGTACTATTGTTGCCCTCTGTATAGATCCTGGCAGAATCTTGTTCTGATTAGCATTGCAGCTCTGTGCCCATTTACACAGTGGGACTTGGTTCTGAGTAAAATAACAAGGTAGGGGAAACATGAATTAATTGGTTTTTTGGAATTCTTCTCAATCCTTTTATTAACAGTGAACACTGGAGATACCTTTATTTTTTTCCTCTAGCTAATTTTGTATGCGTGCATGCATCTGCATGAGGAAAGAAAAGATGGGCATTTCTTTGCTCTGTGCACCTGATGGGGATGCTTAGAATGGAGGAGTCAGCAATATTTTGAACCGACACCTCTTTTGGCCTCTCCTATTGGGATTCATTGAAGGAATTTGGGGAAAATCTTTTTCTTCTTCACTCCTGGCCAGATCCAGCCCATTTTAAAATTTCCTTCCTTCCTTCCTTCCTTCCTTCCTTCCTTCCTTCCTTCCTTCCTTCC